AATCAAAGAAAATATAGTTGTAAAAATAATAACATCAATACAATTAAATGATATATAAGTCAAATCAAAGAAAATATAGTTGTAAAAATAATAACACATATAACAATGACCGATACGAGGAAAGATGAATTATAGGAAGAGAGCGTGTAGTAGCGAAGCGATGAAACAAGAACATTGGAAAGCTCAGGAGTCAAAGAGTGATAAGATAGGGAGGAAACGAAATCTATCAAAAAAATAGGATATGGCCTCAAGAATAGTCTCACGGATAAAATCATGATATGCGTCTAAATTGTCCGTTGTATTCTCACTGGTAGGAACTCGGGACCGTGACCTGCATAGACCACCACTAAAACCTATCACGACCTGCTTTCCAAAATACCAAAGAATCAGAACGTGAACAAGCCCGCGACATATTAGATTAAGAAGAATAAATAAAAATAAATATTTCTCCTCAACCTAATACGCTAAGCATCAAGAAATAAATGCAAAGGCTCAAGTCCTCAATCACAAATAGCGAGAATATAATGAACAACACAGAATAAAATAATACATATCACAAATGAATATCATCCAAGACATAAAAATATAGGTCAAACATACCCTTATACATGACTGAACAACTGAAAACTAAAAAATGTAAAATACATCGTTCAACGGTAATAGAAAGGAAACACTACAAAATATAAACTAAGAATCATCAAATAACTAAGGAAATAGCTAAGCTTCAACTTGTTCTTCTGCTCCGTCTGCAAGGCACTCCTGCTGAGAATCCTCTGGCTCCTGTACGACTCCGAACTGAGACTGTCCGTCTCCTAAATCTGATGTACACCAGAGAAAATATGTATACGTCAGTGTGCATGACACACGACAAGATCCTACAGAGAGAAAGAAACAGTCGAACGAGCAATACAAAATAGTAATAATAATAATAGAAGCTTGCTACTGGAAAACTAATAATCTAAATACAATCTATCACCAGAATATAATAATTAGAAAAGTCTAAGAAAATCAACCAAATAACAAGTCGATCATGCAGCTAGCGATCAGAATAATCATCCAAGTAACAAGGTCATACAACTATATGGAATTAATATTTAAAAATCTACAACAAGAGACGTAGTACGTCGAGCGAAATAATCCAAACAAGAAAACCCTCATGTATATACCATATGTCTCAAATTATAGATAATTAATATTAATCCTGATCTATGTATAAAAAGAAATACAACTGACCTATATCTCACAAGAATTCATAATCACCTTAAGTAACAAGGTCATGTAACTAGTCATTCTATAACTGGTCACTGGTCCACATCTCACACAGAGTCAACTCTCATATCATCGGATAACTGATTGTTCATAAATTCCATGCGTGTATCCAATACCACTACACAAACTCGGTCAGAGGACTACACGCAATCCGTTTTTAGCCTGGTCCGGACTCAAGCTAAACTTGAGTGAATATCAAACTCACAGACCAAAGTAACGACACCGATCTACTTTGACCCAACAAACCAACCCCAGTAGCGACATTGATCCATTGGTGCGATCCTGGAAGATATATCAACAGCCTTATCTGATTATATGAACATAGACTTTCTCATCTAACCTCTCTTGTATTTTCTAAGTCAACAACACACAAGTCTCTAGGCCTTATTCATATCACACATGTCACTATAGTCATAAACTCCTAACAATTCTCAATCACAACAAGGAACAATCAATACAACTAATCATGTGTAATAATATCATGACATATCAGATAATCAAAATTAAGAATTATAAACTATAAACAGCGTCTACATAATTCAGAAAATAATCTTTTTCTAAATTAATTCATTTTAAATTATTTCTCTTAAAAATTAATCTAAAATAATTCATTTTCAAAATAATTTCCTTTAAATTATTATAATTATCTAAAAAATGATTCTTTTGCCAAACTAAATTCTTTTAATTCCTTATAATTATTCTGAAAATGCTATTTATCATATTGCTATGATATATTTAATATTCTTCATCAAACAATCACACACAGATAATTATATCACAACTAATCTATGTAATCAATAAAAATAGATATTAAAATGACAAGTCAATGAGCAAGAGAGATCTTGCCTAGGGTATATCGTGGATCGTAGTGGGGGCCGTCGGGGTGGTTGCACGACGTTACGATGGGTTTCATGGAATCGACGATGTGTGATAGACAATACGAAGGGCTACGCACTGGCGAAGGAATCGACGAAAACGGAGGTCGGAGATGGCCGAAAAACGCGGGCTAAGACGGTTCCGAATCTGTAAGTTTCTGCAGTGAAGCAACTCGTCTTCGTTGTTCGGAGTCGTCGGAGGAGAGAAGAGGGTGGTGGCGGAGAGGAGCAGCGGGTAGAGGGGGCGGTCGGGTCTAGGGGGACGAGGCGGCGGGCACGGCGCTGAGGTGCGCGACGGAGGAGGCTGGGTGGCGGGTTCGGCTTGTGGAGGGTGGACGGCGAGGGGAAGCGAGGCGTTTGAGGGCAGTGAAGGCGGCGGCCTGAGGGCGTCGGGTCTGTTGAGGCGAGGGCGGAGGAGGCCGGCGGGCGTGGAGATGGGCTGGCTGTCGGGTGGTGTTGCAAGGGTGGTGCAGGCGATGGGAGAGAAGGTTGAAGGCGCGGTGGCCAAGGCTGCTGGCTTGGCGTAAGTTCTTGGTAGACGGGGAGAGGCGAGGGGGAGTTCGACGGGAAGAGGAGGACGAGGGGTGGCGATGGAGAGCGGAATAGAGAGAGGAGACAGAGAAAGGTGGGGCGTGAAAACAAAGAGAAAAGAAAATATAAATGTATATATATATATATATATATATATATATATATATAATTAGGGTTTTGGAAAATAATTAAAAATAATATTAATTAAGAAATAAATTAAATAATAATATAAAAATTATCTACATATTAAAATGTACCAGTTATACTAATACGATAGATAATACACAATAGTAAAAATAATACAACTAATTATAAAATTAAACAAAAATAATTAATAAAAAATATAATTACTTACATTTAAAATCAAATAATTATGGAAAAATTATCTATAAAATAAAACGTACCAGTTATACTTATACAATAGATAATATGTAATAATAGTAATAATACAACAAATTGTACAATTAAACGGGAATAATTAATAAAAAAATAATTACGTACATTTAAAATCAAATAATAATGGAAGAATTATCTACATAATAAAACGTATCGGTTGTACTAATACAACTGATAATATGCAACATTAGAAATAATACAATAAATTATACAAGTAATACGTAATTAATAATACAACGTATTATATGAAATAATACGTAATAATAATAATAATAATAATAGAATGTATTATTCAAAATGTTACGTAATAGTATCGATAACACAATAGATTAATTTCAAAAAAATTACTACACTAAATTAATTTATAAATATCAAAATTATTTAAATAAATATAAAATTTGGACTTTAAATTGTTGAAAATTCTAGAAAATCGAGAAAATACAAATGTTCTTTTGAAAATAATAATTTAGTATTTTAGAATACTAGAAAAATTATTTTAACTAGTATAAAAAATTTATGATCATTTACATCGGTTGATTTTAAATAAATAATTTCAAATAGCACATGAATTGAAAAATAATAATGATCTCATGTAAATTATTAATTTATATATATATATATATATATATATATATATATATATATAACTTTTCTCATTTTCAAAATAGATAATTATAAATTATAATTACTTTAAGATTTAATAATTAACATCTATAATAATCTCAATCTTCTAGATTGTTGAAAATTATCTGTAAATCAAAATTATAGCATAAAATAAAATCTGAATTAAATAAGTAAGAGAGATGAAAAACCAGGCCTGAAGGGAGCAATTGTGTAATCACTGCCCTAGAAGATTGAGAACCCGCCTATCGCTCTGGCGTAAATGGTTACCTCCCCCTAGTGGTAAAAGCCACCGGAAACAGCCGACCTCCTTACTCGGGCGAGAGCACAGAGCTTCTGCTCAGATGAAGAAGGTTGCCCAAAATAACACTATCGATAAAATAGTACCACAAATTCCCCGTTATAATTTTTTCTCTATTTCTTTTTCTTTTCTTTCTTTATTTCTCAATATTCTCTTCTTTTCTTTGCTTATGTTCAGTGTGTAGGGAGAGAGAGATTAGAGAGAATTAGACGAGAGAAGTCACTTCTTAAGAGAGAGCTTAAGAGTGTATTATAGGGAGATAGAGAGGAGATTGTGGGTTACTGGATTTGGTTAGAGGGAGAGAGAGATTAGTGGAGAAATAGTCAAAGCTCTTTAGAGAAATATGTGGTTAGTTGGAGAATTAATAGGTGATAGTTAGGAGACAATATTGACTTTTTCCAAAAATATCCAACAACAAAACCCTAAGTTCAAAGGTTTTTTTAAATCTTTTTTTTTCTTTCCCCCTTTTCTTGTAGGATTATCTGAACCGGTCTGAGTAATGATTTAATACCAATTAATTATTAGAGAAATCCTTTTCAATATATATATTTGGTTAACTTCAGAAAACCCCAGAGCTTTATTAGGGGTTCTGCAAATAACCCCCTTAAGTACTTAGTTCCACAAAAAACCTCAGAACATCCGAGGATTTTGCACGTAAAACTCTTTAACTTCTTTTATTCCACTAAAGACCCCTTTGAAATTTTCACTTTAACCCCTCAAAACAAAAGTAACATCGTCAAGTTTGACACATCACTAGTCAAGTATGTGAGGGGATAAAAAATACTTCTCAGCCCTTAAAAAACATCACACTTTTATCTGTTTGATCATTCCCATCAATTTTTTTGACAGATGAGGGGGTAATTCTTTGTCACAGCCACCCAAGCCGATAGTCTCATCATACGCAATTTCAACTCCGGAATACAAATGAAGCGAACTTTGAAATCTTTGAACAAATACGTCAGAATTCCGATACTTGGGAACTGTTCATATCCAGACATTATGTATCCTGTTGCACTTCGAAACTGTCACAATTTTTTCTAAGAACTATACCAATCAAATATTACATATATGTTGATATATCCCTTCAAATCTCCAAGTCATAAGCTTTATTCATCCAAATATTACATAACATAAAGATTGCCCGTATTAACGACATTAAGCAATCTCATATTTGGCAACATAAATCGATTAATCAAGTACAACAACATTATATCTTGGATGCATCTGCAATTTTGCTCAAAGCAGTAGCAGCTTTAGAACCCGAACAGCGTCCCAAATGCTTAGATATGAAATCACCAGCAGCAATAAGTTTGCCGAGATCCACATTGGTCTTTATGCCGAGGCCTTGAAGCATGTAGACAACATCTTCAGTGGCGACATTACCTGAAGCGCCCTTTGCATAGGGGCAGCCCCCCAGGCCAGAAACTGATGCATCCACCACGCTGACCCCCATCTGCTCACATTAGACCAAGATGATGTCAGCCTTGTACGTTTGTAATTTAGATCTTTTTTTAGGGGCTGTTTGTTTGGCCCTGGGTTGGTTTCCTAAAAACCAAGAAAAGGATTTCCATGTACTTTTTGTATTAAAATATTATTATAATCTATTTCCATCCCTAAAACTCATCCAAATAAAAAGAAATCTATACACTTTTATCAATAAAATATTATTTTTATCCACCAACTCATCACATCTCATATCCTTTCTTACTTTTAAAAATAAACCAAATACAAAAAATGAGTCACATCATCCAACTCATCTCCTCTCATATTTAAAAATCACTCACATCATCCAATAATATGGTGACAACTCATCTCATCTCATTAACATTTCATTTCCACCCATTTCCTCGAAAAAAAAATGATTTCCTTAAGTGTGGGTCACATCATCCAATAATATACAAACAACTCATCTATTTTCTTATTTTTAAGAATGAACCAAACACAAGAAAGAAATTATTATAGGAAATAGGTTTCTTATAATACATTTCCTTTTTTTTAACCAACCAAACAACCTCAAAACAAATTTTCTTAAAAAATCACTCACATCATCCAATAATATGATGACAACTCATCTTATCTCATTTCCTATTCTTTGATTTCCTTCTTTTTTTAGGGGTTGTTTGTTTGTCTAAAAAAAGAGGGAAATCAAAGAATAGGAAACCTATTTCTTAGAAATTTTATTTTGAGGTTGTTTGGTTGGGAAAAATAGAAGGAAATTAAAGAATAGGAGATGAGATGAGATGAGTTGTCATATTATTGGATGATGTGAGTGATTTTTTAAGAAAATTTATTTTGTGGTTGTTTGGTTGGCTAAAAAAAATAAGGAAATGTATTATAAGAAACCTATTTCCTATAATAGGTTCTTTTCTTGTGTTTGGTTCATTTTTAAAAATAAGAAAATAGATGAGATGAGATGAGTTGTCATTATATTATTGAATGATGTGACCCACACTTAAGGAAATCAATTTCCTTGTTTTTTTGAAGGAAATGGGTGGAGATGAAAGTTTAAGGAGATGAGATGAGTTGTCACCATATTATTGGATGATGTGAGTGATTTTTAAATATGAGAGGAGATGAGTTGGATGATGTGACTCATTTCTTGTGTTTGGTTTAAAAATAATATTTTATTAGATATTGGATGATAAAAGTAATATTTTATTGGATGAGTTGGATGATAAAATAATATGTTATTAGATGAGTTGGATGATAAAATAATATTTTATTGAATGTTGGGATAAGTTTTAGGGATGGAAATGGTTGAAAATAGGAAATGGAAGATTTCCATACTTTCATTTCCTATTCTTGGTTTTTAGGAAACCAACCAAACAACCCCTTAACCAACCAAACAACCATAATACAAGAAATCCTATTCTTTGATTTCCTAGTTTTTTTTGCGAAACGAACAGCCCCTTAATAAAATTGTTTATTACTTAGTTTATGGTTGTCTCGAAAATAGTGAAGGCTTATTTTCATTTTGGTGCCAAAATTTACCCAGTTTTTCATTTTGATGCCACAACAATATTTTTTTAACACTTTGATAACCCAAAGTTTCAATCCCATTTCACTTTGATACCCCAATCCAGATTGCGTTAGACTTTGCTTAGCACGTGATACATTTTAAGTCCATTTTACCTAGTTTTTACCTAGTTGCTAGAGATCCAAACCACCCAATATGTTTATGCTAAGCACGTGATGCAAATTTATCAGAAACTCTCATGAAATCTTGATGAGGGTATCAAAATGAAATGGGATTGAAACTTTGGGGTATCACTGTTCAATAAATACCTTGGGGGTTGAAGAGTTTTGGGTAAAATTAGGGTTAGTTCTCTCATAGAGAGGTACCCCTTTTATATTAGTGCATTCTTGCAAATAGGTCCTTACAACATTGACTAATTACTATCTAAATAACTCAACACTCCCCCTCAAGATGGGCGATAGATATCAACCATCCCCATCTTGTTACAAAAGATATCATACTCTCTAGAACCTAATCCTTTTGTTAAACAATCAGCTAGCTGCTCTTCTGATTTCACATAGCTCAAAGTCAGAGCTCCTCTATTCAGTTGTTCCTTGATAAAGAACCGATCAATCTCTACATGTTTGGTGCGATCATGCTGAACTGGATTGTTTGCAATATTAATCGCCGATTTGTTGTCACACCAAAGTTGTAAGGAGTCTCTTCTAAACAAGTGCAGCTCAGATAATATGTTTTTGACCCACATCAACTCGCACAGACTAACTGTCATGGCCCTGTACTCGGCCTCAGCTGTAGACCTAGCCACCACATCTTGCTTCTTGCTACGCCAAGATACGAGATTGCCTCCAACAAATACACAGTAGCCTGTAGTGGACCTACGATCATCCATACAACCTGCCCAATCAGCATCACAATAGCCTTCAACTCTCAAATGTCCAGAACTTCTGAACCACAACCCCTTTCCTGGGCTTCCCTTAATATATCTAAGAATTCTGCGAACTGCCTCCATATGTTGCTCTCTGGGATCATGCATATATCTACTCACCACACTCACAGCATGTGTAATATCAGGTCTCGTGTGGCATAGGTATATAAGTCGTCCAACTAATCTTTGATTTTGCTCTTTACTCACTGGGTTACCACCCTCAGCACACATCTTATGATTCTGCTCGATAGGAGTAGATGCAACTCTGCACCCCAACATCCCTGTCTCTGAGAGAAGATCCAGAGCATACTTCCGCTGAGAAAGCACTATACCCTTTCGCGATCTTGCAATTTCAATTCCGAGGAAGTATTTCAACTGTCCCAGATCTTTAACTTCAAATTCCTCTCCCAATTTTTTCTTCAACCGTAGGATTTCTTCAGCATCATCTCCAGTTATAACAATATCATCAACATAGACCGCCAGAATGGTGATACGAGTTTTAGAGTGCCTGTAAAACACAGTATGATCCCCATTGCATTGCTTGTACCCCATACCGCAGACTGCCAACCTGAATCTGTCAAACCATGCCCTCGGAGACTGTTTTAACCCATACAAAGACTTCTTCAACTTGCACACCTTCCCAGCTACTTGAGAAGTAGTGAAGCCTGGTGGAATCTCCATATACACCTCCTCCTGAAGATCTCCATGCAAAAAGGCATTCTTGACATCTAGCTGATGTAGTGGCCAATTGAAGTTGGCAGCACATGACACCAACACTCTAACAGTGCTCATCTTTGCTACTGGAGCAAATGTCTCGTCATAGTCAATGCCATACGTTTGGCTGTAACCTTTAGCAACTAATCTGGCCTTGTATCTGTCAATCTTGCCCTCTGGAGTTTGTTTAACCGTATACACCCACTTACATCCAACAGCACGCTTCCCAGCTGGCAAAGATACCAGCTCCCATGTATCATTCTTCTTCAAGGCCTGAAGTTCCTCTTGCATGGCACTCAACCATCTAGGATCTTGCTTAGCAACCTGCCAGTTGTTAGGTACAGGCACTGAATGCAATGATGCAATGAATGACTTATATGCAGGTGAAATGGATGCATATGAAATGTAATTCGCAATGTCAGTATCCCAACTACCAAACTTAGTTGGAGGTTTTCCAGCATTGACTCTCGAGGTTCTACGAAGCAAGACAGGAGTATTAGAAGTATCAGGGAAGAATTCGTTACCTATCGACTCAGGTGGAGAAGATGAAGAAGTCACTGGAGAGGAGGGACTTGGGACATCAACATTTGTGGGTACTGGCATAGGCACAGGAGGCGGCTCATGCTGCTGTTTCTGTCTCCTCGTGTATACTCTCAGCTCCCCCTGACCTTGACTATCACCTCCTGAGTCGCCACCACTACTCGGCAGTGTACCATCACTGCTCGGTGACTCAAGAGGACATGGAATCATCCCAACCACAATGTCATTCTCATTTTCATTCTCATTCTCCCCCTCTCTACTAGCATCAGTAGAGTCATCTCCAAACAAGGAACTCAACTCCGTCTTCTCCCCATAAAAAGGTTCAAACTCCCGAAAAGTCACATCCATACTGACAAACAACCTTCTTTCAGTGGGACACCAACACTTGTATCCTTTTTGGCTTGATGAGTAGCCAATAAAAATACATTTAACTGCTTGCGGATCCAGTTTACTCACCATCAATCTGTGATCTCTCACATAACATGTGCATCCAAACACTCTTGGTGGAACAACAAAAACATTCGAGCCCAAGAGCATCTCACACGGTGTCTTCATCCCTAATACTCGTGATGGCATCCTATTGATCAGATAAGCTGCTGTCATAACAGCCTCACTCCATAAAAACTTAGGCACATTCATTGTCAGCATTAATGAGCGTGCCACTTCCAGTAGATGTCTGTTCTTGCGTTCAGCCACCCCATTCTGAGCAGGGGTGTCTGGGCAGGTGGTTTGATGAAGGATTCCCTGACTAGAGATGAAAGCGGCAAACTCCTTGTTGATATACTCAGTCCCATTATCTGTTCGAAGAATCTTCACCTGCACTCCAAACTGTGTCTTCACATAGGCCGAGAAATCTTGAAAACATTTGCAAACCTCAGATTTCTGTTTCATCATGTATATCCAGACCATACGTGAATAACAATCAATGAAAGTAACAAACCATCTAAAACCACTAATAGAGGTAGTAGGACATGGTCCCCAAACATCAGAATGGACAAGAGCAAATGGTTCAAAGCTTCGAAGACCAATCATTCTATAAGTAGAACGAGTATGTTTTCCAAGTTCACAAGCATTACAAAATAACTCTTTTCTATTCACTTTCTTCATTAACTCAGGTTCTAACCTATTCAAACTATCAAAGGATAAATGCCCTAACCGGCAATGTTGAAGCATCGCTTCTGCCTCTGGCCCTCCGCTAACAGCAGCAGCAATCATTACAGTCTCCCTGTCCAAGTACCAAAGTCCATCACGCCTGATGCCAGTCCCAATCCTCCTCCCAGTTTCCTTCTCCTGAAAGACACACATATCCCGATCAAATAACACAGTGCAATTTAATTGATCAATGAGAGAGCTAACAGAGAGTAAGTTAACTGGAAACGAAGGAACATGCAATACAGATGACAAGGTAACAGATGAAGTGCAATGGACCGAACCAGTACCCCTGATGGGTTGGGATGTCCCATCAGCAGTCTGAACTGTCTCAGGATGCATATGCTTACTCGGATAATATAATGCAAACTCACTAGATGCTCCTGTGACATGCCTAGATGCACCTGAGTCTATGATCCAATCAACATGAGTTTTAGTGGATGCAAGTGCCTGAACCCGTGTACCTTTGTTCGCATGAGCATAACCAACAAAGTTACCAAAGCATGTAATGTTATCCAGATCCTGAGTGACTTGTCCCTTGCCCTTCGAACTCTCAGCCTGAAGCTTGAACAGACGTAGTTCCTCCAGCTCTGTTATTTCAGCCCCAGTCATCCCAGCAGTAGTCTGGAACTCCTCTGCCACAGCTAGATGAGCAACTCCTCGGCCTCCACGTCCCCTGCTTCCTCGACCTGCACGGCCACCTCTCTGTCCTCTGCCCCCTCGGTTGCCACTAGTGTTGCGGGGTTGAGGGCAATTGTAGCTGAGGTGCCCTTTCTTTCCACAATTATAGCATTCTCTATCATCTCTGATGTGAGCATCTGGAACCACTAATGCCGAGCGGACAGCAGGTGAGGCCTCACCTGTCATCACCTTCTGTCTGATCTCCTCTTGTTCCATCGATGCAATAGCCTCATCCAAGGAGGGGAGAGATGACAGATGACACATTGCTGCCCTCCTTCCCTCAAACTTTGGATTCAGACCCTTAAGAAAACGAACATCTGCTGGGTTTTGTAGTGATAACGGGTCATAGTGATCCAAATCTGCCCATAAGTGACGTAGCTCTGCTGCATACTGGTGCACTGTCTTCTCCCCTTGTGTGGTAGCATCAATCTTCTCTTCCACTTCCATCATCATCATCACACTCCCAGCTCCAGAGTACATCCCCTCCAATGTCTTCCAGACATCAGATGCACTCGAGATAGACTCCACCATCCCAGCTATGGTTGGAGACACAGAAGTCAACAACCAAGAAACCACAAGAGAATTAGTGTTACTCCATGTGTTCCACTCAGCACTCGCCTTATTCTCCGGCTCAGTGCACTCCCTCTTCACATACTTTTCAAGTCCTTTGATTCGAAGGTTCAACAATGCCCTCCGAGACCAACTCAGATAGTTTCTTGTCCCCTCAAGCTTGATGTCATTAGGCAGCAACTTTACTCTCTCCATTACCTGCGCCGACTCCGACGCGGTCACGACTGACCTACTAGAATTCTCCTCTAGTTTGGTCTGAAATACCCTGGCCACCCCCTCCAGGATCTCCTTCAATTCCTGACTAGTCACAGATGTTCCCATCTTCACAGTTGACTGCCCTTATCTCAAACTCTACACAGAATCAAGATCAAACACAACTCAACTAATATGCAATCACGACTTTCCATCTACTTGCACAACCCAACACTGCCATTATCTCAACCACAAATTCATGCCCATCTAAAAAACACTACTGTAATCAGCCCCCAACACTGCCTTTATCTCAAACACCAATTCATGCTCATCCAACGGAGCTGAAGAGGGTCTCCCAGATGTTCCACCACTACACGAGAGCTGCCCTCCTCCCTCGACGAACCCAACGAAGTAGGAGCTGCCCTCCTCCCTCGACGAACCCAACGAAGCAGGAGCTGCCCTCCTCCCTCGACAACCTAGGGCTTCACGAGAGCTGTCCTCCTCCCTCGACGAACCCAACGGAGCTGTCCTCCTCCCTCAACAACCTAGGGCTTCACGAGATCGGCTGACCGGAGATCCCAAATCGGCGACCCTGGGGTTTCCTCGATTTCAGAGGCTTGAGCCGCCACCTAGGCTCTGATACCATGAAGAGTTTTGGGTAAAATTAGGGTTAGTTCTCTCATAGAGAGGTACCCCTTTTATATTAGTGCATTCTTGCAAATAGGTCCTTACAACATTGACTAATTACTATCTAAATAACTCAACAGGGGTTATCAAAGTTCAAAATGGGTGAACTTTGGGGTACCATAGTGAAAATAAGCCAAAGTGAAAATGAAAGTAAATTATGAGGGGTATGATGATAGTTAAATTTAAAATGATTTATAACCGATGAATCCATCATGTTGATCCCAATATGCATAAAATAGTGTCAAG